GATTTTAATAAAACTTTACAATTTCATTTGTACACATACTTGGTAAATTCATGTTTAATTACTATAAACTATAATTCCGAAGATATAACATTAAATTGCTGAACTAACAGGAATAATGTTATTGAATAATTTCGACATTCTGTCAAAAAAAAGTTTAGAGAACAATATAATAATTTTTTTTACATAAGTTAAGAGAGCATTAATGGAAAGAGTTAGAATAGGTAAGTATAAATATTCATTAATAACGTTAATAATATGGTATTTTTTAAAATTTTGTTTCATGATAAGTTCACTACTATAGCATGTAATTCTTTTGTTTACACTTCATGTGCACAATATTTGCATAATTTTTGCATGGTCATTAATAAATTCATTGATTACCTTAAGTGTAACAAACTAATTGTACATTGATATATATATATATATATATATATATTTTTTTGAAACATAAGCCACTTAATACTGACATTAAAAGTTGTTGCTTTTGTGTGTTAGTGTTACATGTAAAAGTGTTTAAGAACACATGTTTATAAAATTATATATCAACGTTAATCGATTCGTCTTATAATCAATCAATTTTTACAATTTTTATACTAATATCATAAAATTTATAATTAATGAAAATATTGTTTTATATTTCTTACTTACAGTGTGTGTAATTTTATTACAGGCAGATGAAGATCCACCACACGCCTTCTCACAAATTTTTGTGCTGAAGCCACTGGGGAATTCATTCTTCTGTCAACATGACATCTTTCGCCTTGGTATTCATGATACTGCATGAAGAAAAATATGTGCAGATTCATGATTAATGGCAGACAGTTATTTGAGCCATGGAATCTCCAGAAATTGGAATAAGTGAGCTACTTTATCATTAATATCCTTTGTCATCGTATATTATCCCATTCTTTCAAGATACTGCAGTTTTTATATAAAAATTACTCACTTATATCTTGGCCACAGAAAGAAAAAGCATTAAAAATAGACACAGTTCAACATTTGTTTTTGCTTTCCTGGGTTTCGTAATTCGCAAATATGCCTATTGTTGGTTACGCTCCTATATTACGACATCACGATACAATAGAATATAACGCTATATGTTTGGTTTTAATGGTCGATTATTGTGCTTCAAATTGTAATGTTATATATTTTACACAATCATGCTGTGTGTATTTTTGTAAAACAGATATTGGCCATTAAATACAACATCTGAAATTAACGATGTACTATTAGTCTCCATTTTCCAATGTGCAACATTAAAAGATTATAAGAAAATTAAGAGTAATGGACATTGTTTCTTTATTATGTTTATAATAAAACTTTATTATATAAATTTCTTATGTGCAAAATGTCTGTACATATTAATATTTAATATTAATTAGCATATGGTCTATGTAATTTCACAAATTCCCACGTTTAGCTTGTTCCATTTCTATAGCTTCAAATAAGGCTTGGAAGTTTCCAGCTCCAAATCCCTACAGTATAAATGGAGTAAATTAATTCTTTTATATTTATGAATAGATACAATTTATATGAATGTTAACTTGTGTAGCTGCTACACTTACATTATGATTACGCCTTTGAATGACTTCTATAAAAAGGGTCGGCCTGTCTTGCATATTTTTAGTAAATATTTGTAGAAGGTATCCTTTCTCGTCGTAATCAATCAAAATTTTTAATCTCTGGAACATAATATTTAAACATGAAATAGATATTATTAAATATATTTGGAGTAAAATCTTTTGATGTTCATACCTGAAGCGTATTAAGATCTTCTAAAATTTTCACTCCACTAGCTTTCAGACGACTTCTTAACATATCATAGTAAGCATCTGGTACATTCAGAAATTCTACACCTCTGGCATGCAAATTTTGTATCTAGAAAACAATGAAAGTGCGTTGCATCGGAAATCGATCTTTTCAAAAGAAAATTATTGAAATAATATATATATAATTACAGCATTGATTATGTTATCTGTGTTCAGAGCAATGTGTTGCACTCCTGCCCCGCCATAATATTCAACGTACTCCTGTATTTGAGAACGTTTCTTTCCAACAGCTGGTTCGTTAATAGGTATTTTCACGGTTTCCTCCCAATTAGTCATAACAATAGAACGTAAAGCAGAGTATTCTGTATGTAATTGACTATCGTCCACTGACCAGAATCTATGAAACTGTAGACATTCTTCATACCTAAAATAAATTTAAATTTGTACAAAAATACTTTCACTATTTTCTTTTAATAGCTTTCAAGTTGCGAGTCGTACAGCTTACCATTTCGCGACAGGTTCCATTTGCTTGTCAGGTTGATTGCCGACAATGTGATCCACAAAGTTTAATCCAACTTTTGATCTAAATAAATAATTAAATCACTGTGGAGTTAATACATTTTACAAAATATAATGCTTTTTATTTTCTATTACTCACAAATTTTTGGCAAATTTATCTTCTGGTAGTCTTTGGAATCCTGGTAAAAAGTATCCTTTATACTTTGATCTATCTACAAGGGTATGATGTGTATCTCCATACTGGAAAATATTTGTTGATATATTATTTTTATTCAATTCTTTACGTTCTTAACAACGCGTGATATACTCACAGTTTTTATGGTGGCAAACTTTACAGTGCCGTATTCATCCGTTTCTTCCCATATATCTTTAATTATTTTGGCACCCTTTTCCTTGGCAACCTGTAAAATAAAATTTTATATTTGTCCCAGTAACAATAACGGTTTACGTTCGTATAAATACACGTGCTGATTTTTTATGTACCTTTACAATGGTATGAATGTCTTCAACAGTGAAGGCAATATCATGAACACCATCACCATGTTTTAAAACATGCCTCCCTATATCTTCATTATCAGATTTATACGGTGATTCGAATACAAAAATAATCTGTAAGTGAAACAGAAATATATTTTATTTATTAATACAGTTAATGCTGCTCTTCAATTTATGTTTTAGTGAAAAACAAAGTATGAATTTCAGGAAATCATACACTATGTATCATATACCTTATCTTGTTTAACAACATGGGATGCTACATGCCTTGAGCCAGTTTCCAAACCACGATAACACAAAGGTTCAAAACCCATCCTAGAGCAATAATAGCTAGCAGCCTACAGCAATAAGGGAAATGAATTAAAAACTGAGTAGTACTATATTTCTTTCTTAACATCAAAGTATTCTAATTACCTGTTTCGCATTTCCAACCCAAAATGTTATATGATCGAAACACAAGAACTTTCCTCCTACGGGCTGAAAATTCAAAGTGTATTAATAATAAGGTGTACACGCTATAGAATTTTATAATTCTTTTCGTTATAATTTCACTCACCTTTGGACCTTTATCTGTGTATGTAGTCTGAAAAATGAATAATAAAAACTGTGAACTTAAATGTTGAAATGTAATTGAAAAATGAAGAGATATTTGAATTCTAAATTCCTGTTACTGAGGGACATTCTACTTAGAGATAGGTGAAACCGCGATTAAACGTAAGATTTAATTGTAACGTTAAACCAAAGGTAATTACTACATATATACAATTCTCGTAGGTTTCTTACCATTTTGAATGATCGGTAAGCGCGGAACGAGTGATATTATTTCTCTCCGTGATTTCTTTGTAATAGTTCTAATCGCAGTTGTATCTCGCTTAAATATGAGCGCGTCAAAATCGGTGATCGGCATCTCGCATGCTGATTGGTCGATCACGGAGGCTTGTTTGTATCGCATTCTTTTTGAATTGCAAACCGTAAATCGTCCGTATAAATATTATCACCTACGGTGATCAGGTTTTTCAGAATCGTGACACGTGCTGATCACCTGACATTATCCTGACAGTGGGCTGGCCTCTGAAATGATCACGCTTGATGTCAGTCCTTCAAATCGAACCCGCCACGTGTTCGTTCCTAAAGCTATTTTTATTATTAGCGATTTTTCTGGAACTTTTTCGATAATCAATGCAACTTTCACGAAGACGAAAAATACATAAACATTTCCGTGGCTTTCGCTGATAATCAAATTGTTAAGTGAACATTTCCAACCAAGATTTCATTATTTACAAGCACATTGTTTTCCTAGGCTTCCATTTTACACAGGTGCAAGTGAAATGCAATTTTGTAACGTACACAAAGAAAATAGTACGACACGTGCAAACAATAACATTAACATGGATGAATATATTTAAGTGATAAAATAATTTTGTCTTTAGATATTTATTTGAAGCTATTGATATATAAGAATTGTACATTTTGTGTATGGTAGTATTTATTATGAAATATATATATATATATTTGAGTTATATTATTATTTATAAGAATTGAAGGGTTTGAAATGATTTGATTGGAGTAAAATTTTCCATTGGAGGCTCGTCGTTGGAAGTGACGAAACACGATTGGTTATGCGTCAGCGCGCCTAGATTCCTGTTTAAAGGTGTGCTGTATTTAATATAAATTAACATAAAAAGAAACTCGTGGAGCATAAACAAGAAACTGGTAAAACCAGGAGGCTCGGCTCGATTCATTTTCATCGTCGGCGAGGTTAAAGAATAAAAAAATCCGCAATGTTTTCATGACACGTAACAGGTATTTGCAATTTTGCGCGCGACTTTTGTGTACAACACATTTGCGAAAAACAACTGAACGAACGGCATTAGAATTGTTCTGAAAGAATGAAAATTAGCGAATTTAAAAGTTCCTTTTATTCCATTTAATGACGATAATTTAACAGAACAGTGAGAAACAATAAAGATCGTACAATAAAGTAACAAAGTCAAGCATAACATTTCTTCTTATCTACCATATTTGATATAAAAAATCTTAATATTACTTTTGTATTTTATCATTCGACGGCTTTTACTATACCAAACATTTTAATTTATTGGAAGTATCGATTCGTCTACAGAATTTTCATTTTTTTGATTATCGTTACACAACGAACTTGTAATTGTCGTGATTTAGATGACATACATTTAGATGACTAGAATAAGTTTGTTGAAAATACAATATAAGAGATATGGATCGGTACTTGATAATTAATCAAAAGATTTTTCAAATTCATATAAAATATCTAATACTCGTAAGTTGCCAGAAACTGATTGTGACGAAAATTGTACAATTAATTTGATGGCAATTTAATTACAATCATATTATTTTAAATATTTGCTAACATATGTATACATTATTTTATGATATATTTTTTTCTTTTCGTAATAGTATATTTTCACTTTGCTATACCAACGAACGGAAAAAAATTATTTCGTTATTATATGTAAATTACATAAATAAATTATTGGATGCTTCA